AATCACCATCGAGTTCCGCTTATTATTCAAGAATTGTCGAAATCCTTTGACTTTCATGAAACTGATACCACATTCGCATGTCATGCGTATTGATTGCTGTGTGATCGGCTGTGGAATGAGAAATCCGCCAGGTTTAAAATTACACGACGTCATTCTCGCCGACCAATAAGGTGTATAATGGCTTTGAGGTATGACCAGAAACTGATATGACACAAAACCAAAATTAGATTGAAAAAAAATTTAATAGCAAGTATCATAAGAGGAGGGCCATGTATGGAGGATTCGCTCTCTTCCCTCATTCTCTCTTGGTGGATTAATTAAATACCTCACTACTGGGGTGTGTCAAGATATTGAACTTCTTCGCTGAATGGTCAACTTTCAAATGCTGCTTGTGAAGGGCATGCTTTTTGTGCGATAAACAGCTGACCACAACAAGAAGGACAACCACTAGTCTGAACATCGCCCTAAGAAAGTTCATTTATAACTTTTTTACAAACATCTTCTCATGGGTACCAAGGCCAGGAGGCAGTTAGCTCTGTTATCCGATATGAACCATCAAAGTAATTTTCAGATAAAACTGCAATGCACAACTAGAAGTAGTCAGTCTCCCTCCTGCTTAGGATTGCTGTTGTTGTTGTTGTTGTTTTTATAGAACTTTTGTGCTATGTATTGATACGTAGTTTCCTTGTATCCGGCCCTTAGACGTTAAACATAGGTTTATGATAACTTTTCAACAAAACTTGTTGACAAATAACTAGACCATTTCCGGGTTCCAAAACTCTCACTTTCAAAACTAGGCTAAGTGCAAAACCTTCCTTGTGAAAATGAGTTTTATTTGCATGAGAATAAAAAATTATTTTCATATCAATAGCTTAGCACTTAGCCTCGCTTCGAAACAGAGGCTGGGAGCAACTTGGAGATGGCCTATTGTTTCTTTTGTGACGTCACCAGTCGCTAAGGAAATAGTAGGTCTTTCGGCCCACGTGACCTTTCGGGTCACAGACAAACCGACTGGCAGGTGACGAGCAGGTGGAATTTAAAGCAAAATAAAAATGGCGACAAACTTCTATGAATGAAACACAGCTCATGGCAGCTGACTTTGCGATATGATAGTAATGACAAATGCTTCTTTTATTTAAACGGACTTGGATTTAAAGATCAAAAGTTTAGCTTAATCTGCTACGAGTTGTTATTAGTTCAAATTTGATTTACATGATCGATCAATCAATGCGGGTAAACTCCGGAACAAACAAACTACATTGGCTACACAGTGCAGTTAAAAGAATTTGGACTGGCTACAGTTTAGATTATTCCCGAAAATCGAATAACTGACTGAACAAAAAATATCATACTAGGCCCATGTCTTATCATAGATATCCTGCAAGATCCTCCTTTCCTTGTCAGCAAAGTTTATGAATACACTGGTTGCGTTTTTAACATTGGTATCTTTCGCTGAAGTTTAAACATTGTTTTAACTAAATTCCTTTTAATCACTTACCTCTCGTTATCGAGCATTTTGGAAGTAATTTCCTAAAATGCGCAAACCATACCTCCAAATAATAGTTATATTACCACGCAAAACTCCAGTCAATCTTTGTTGAATCTTCCAATGATAGAAATCACTTGTGGTCATGTGATCAGCTCACCGCGATTAAACTTTACGCACGATCGAGCTTCAAAATCGCGAGCGGCTTGGGGCTTCTAGCGACTCCATCAAATGGAAAGCTTGTTCCTCCAAATGGATCATAAGCCACCAATGAAATCTAGGTAGCAGCTTAACTCTTCAACTTTTCGCAAACTGATACTACCGCTTTTAGCTTAAACTGCTGACCGCTTTAGGCCTATCATCTACCATAATCAAAACAACCACTAGTTGTGGTTTGACAACTAACAACTATCCTTGCTTTCCTTTCTAGAACAAATATGCATATATTTTCTAGCTTTTTCTTCCTGGACTTCCCCTTGATCAAAAAGAAGAGCTAATTCACGAGTTAAGACCGCTTTTTTTGAATTGGCTTGTCAAATTCACTTGCTGTTTTGGATCTCTTGTCCCTTGTCCCATTGGAAGGTTTTTTTTTCTGTCCTGTTCTCCACAAGTTGTGTATTATAAGAGAAGTACTCCTATATATAAAATTATTCGGACAAAAATAGGATTGTGGTCCCGCGCGACGCAGATTGGGCTTTACTGCTTTTCAAAAGTGCGGTTTGTTGTGTAAGGCGGAAAAAAAACCTGCCGTTGGAGATTACCTTGACTCTATCTTTCACTCGATCTAAAGCCTTTCATATAAATAAGGGAAAATGAAGGAAGGGAGCGAATCCCTGTGCCCCCTGCGGATTATTTGAAATCCAATTTTGGTTCGCGCCGAAGGGGCGCGAATAATTTTTGTCTGCTGTTCCCATGACCACGCGGTCTGCTTCACGCGAACATGTTTTTCCACCAAACATTTGACGTTTGACAGCCGTTAAAGTTTACGTTGTGGGTATACTATTTCCTAGTCCCAAGGCCCCATTATTCCACGCCTCGGATACGTCACCAAAGTGAATTGACCGAGAAGGCCTGAGAAAACGCCATACAGGAACTTGGCAAGATATGTAAATCACCATCGAGTTCCGCTTATTATTCAAGAATTGTCGAAATCCTTTGACTTTCATGAAACTGATACCACATTCGCATGTCATGCGTATTGATTGCTGTGTGATCGGCTGTGGAATGAGAAATCCGCCAGGTTTAAAATTACACGACGTCATTCTCGCCGACCAATAAGGTGTATAATGGCTTTGAGGTATGACCAGAAACTGATATGACACAAAACCAAAATTAGATTGAAAAAAAATTTAATAGCAAGTATCATAAGAGGAGGGCCATGTATGGAGGATTCGCTCTCTTCCCTCATTCTCTCTTGGTGGATTAATTAAATACCTCACTACTGGGGTGTGTCAAGATATTGAACTTCTTCGCTGAATGGTCAACTTTCAAATGCTGCTTGTGAAGGGCATGCTTTTTGTGCGATAAACAGCTGACCACAACAAGAAGGACAACCACTAGTCTGAACATCGCCCTAAGAAAGTTCATTTATAACTTTTTTACAAACATCTTCTCATGGGTACCAAGGCCAGGAGGCAGTTAGCTCTGTTATCCGATATGAACCATCAAAGTAATTTTCAGATAAAACTGCAATGCACAACTAGAAGTAGTCAGTCTCCCTCCTGCTTAGGATTGCTGTTGTTGTTGTTGTTGTTTTTATAGAACTTTTGTGCTATGTATTGATACGTAGTTTCCTTGTATCCGGCCCTTAGACGTTAAACATAGGTTTATGATAACTTTTCAACAAAACTTGTTGACAAATAACTAGACCATTTCCGGGTTCCAAAACTCTCACTTTCAAAACTAGGCTAAGTGCAAAACCTTCCTTGTGAAAATGAGTTTTATTTGCATGAGAATAAAAAATTATTTTCATATCAATAGCTTAGCACTTAGCCTCGCTTCGAAACAGAGGCTGGGAGCAACTTGGAGATGGCCTATTGTTTCTTTTGTGACGTCACCAGTCGCTAAGGAAATAGTAGGTCTTTCGGCCCACGTGACCTTTCGGGTCACAGACAAACCGACTGGCAGGTGACGAGCAGGTGGAATTTAAAGCAAAATAAAAATGGCGACAAACTTCTATGAATGAAACACAGCTCATGGCAGCTGACTTTGCGATATGATAGTAATGACAAATGCTTCTTTTATTTAAACGGACTTGGATTTAAAGATCAAAAGTTTAGCTTAATCTGCTACGAGTTGTTATTAGTTCAAATTTGATTTACATGATCGATCAATCAATGCGGGTAAACTCCGGAACAAACAAACTACATTGGCTACACAGTGCAGTTAAAAGAATTTGGACTGGCTACAGTTTAGATTATTCCCGAAAATCGAATAACTGACTGAACAAAAAATATCATACTAGGCCCATGTCTTATCATAGATATCCTGCAAGATCCTCCTTTCCTTGTCAGCAAAGTTTATGAATACACTGGTTGCGTTTTTAACATTGGTATCTTTCGCTGAAGTTTAAACATTGTTTTAACTAAATTCCTTTTAATCACTTACCTCTCGTTATCGAGCATTTTGGAAGTAATTTCCTAAAATGCGCAAACCATACCTCCAAATAATAGTTATATTACCACGCAAAACTCCAGTCAATCTTTGTTGAATCTTCCAATGATAGAAATCACTTGTGGTCATGTGATCAGCTCACCGCGATTAAACTTGATACAGCCTCGTTTTGATTTCTTAACACTGGGCGAGATGATAGTAAAGGAATTTATACCATACAACGGAAGCAGTTCAGAGTACATGGCTTTTTTTGCTGCGAAAAGTAAAGCACTTTTTGCTAAGGCCCAATATTATTTGAGGGTATTTTAAGTTAAAAAGGGCCTTGCTTCACACAGTGAACTCGCCATTTTATATGTATAACTTTAACCAGTTTAACCATAGGCCTGATTTCCAGCCATTTGAGGGAACGTCGGTTGGAATGGTAAAGGAAGCCTTAAGTTTTTAAGATTTTGTGAAACACATGCAATACGCCTGACTGATTCATATGTTTACTTTGAGAACCAGTTCCAAAAGTTTCAGCTGAAAAAAATCGAGATGATGAAGATTAGCTAATATAGCAGCATTTTTACTGAAATTGAATACTATACACTTGAAACACCACTAGTCCGACACTCTCAGAATGAAAGTAGAAAAATTGTTCGCAATGGAGCCGGCGGTCACGGGAATCATCTCTTTTAGCGGGCGCTAGCAAGATAAGAGACAGGGGACAACTTTTTATTATCATATGCAATACAGGAAAGAAAAAAAATAACTGTACTGTATACCACGACAAGCTCTTACGACAAGACAACAAAAAACAAGATTTATTTTTAATTCTATGCGAATCCGCTCATGGGAGTTTAGGAACAAAACAATAGTTTACATCATACCCATCGCAAGTGTCCGCGGCCGCTTACGGGGACTGTGTATAAATGCAGAATTCGCTTGGGAGTTCACACGGGTATTTGTGAAGGCTGCTGACTGTGACCTAAGTCGAACCGTCCGCTTACAAAAGTGTCTCTTAGAAGCGCTTGGACTTTTCACCACTATATACCGGTAGTCCAGACACTTGTTAGCGCTCTTGTATTGAGCGTTCAGAAAAACTGGAGTCCTATGAACATCAAAACCGTACGTCGGACTTTCTGTACAGGGTCAACTACCACAGCTACGTGAAATCGCAATTAAACATAAATTCTCTGAGTGGGACGAGGTGGAAGATTTTCATCCTGATTTACAAAGTCCATAGTCACTTCCTCATTTTTTTCTTCCTCTGAATTCCTTGATATACCATCGCAAAGTTCTTGTTCTATTTTCCCCTTGTAGCAGTCAATATATTTGTCTATGTAACTTTCAAGATAGCTCAAAGGAGCCGAGCCCTGACGCAGAAGCTGATAATGGAACTCCCGCAAGTCAAAATCTTTACCCAGTGCCTTCTTGACCTTCTTACGCATGTTCACTAGTGCTAGTCTCCCTAGCATGTACGCGGTTGCCTGACCAGGGTTACTCTGGTACCTGGTAACCTCTTTGATTGCGAAATCTGTTTTATCCCAAGTATAGTCTTCAAAGTATTTGAGTGCTTGAGACCTAGCAAAAAAAGAAAATGTAAAATTTAGCAGAAGGTTAATGTCTCTTTGCCCAATAAACCGCTTTCCCTAATTTACGTGTAGCAGAAAAAATGCCTTTGTTCACTTAGGAAACTCTGATCGCTGGCTTTGTGCAGGTACTGATTCATGTAAGAAGACTTATTATGAATAAATGATCATAACTCTACTGCGCATAACTAATGGCAAGCCCGCGAGGCCCTTGTGACGAAATTAACAATTTTTTTTTGTTATTCCCGATGTAAACAGTAGTACAATTTCTGGCTCACAAAAGATGGCCATCAGTAAAAATATTAGTTTAAAGCGAACTGAAGCGGGACGAATGGGAACTTTGCTTTTCGGGGCGTGGGGAAGGGGGCGGAGGAGGGGGGGTTGAGGCGTGTGTGGCCGAGCGGTTAACACCTGGATCTAGAGGTCAGGGTTCAAGCCTCGCCCGTCGCATTGTTTCCTTAGACAAGAAACTTTACTTCACTTCGTCTCTCTTCACCCATGTGCATATATGGGGATCGGCGACATACTGCTGGGGGGTAACCCTGCGATGGACTAGCATCCCGTCTAGGGGGGAGTAGTAATAATTTTTATCTTATTTCGTTTTGCTTGAGACAAAAATAATTACAAAAATAGTTACAAATACATGTTCTTTTATCTATTTAAGGGATACTCCTTGGCATGCTTCATGCTACGGAAACCCGTATAAGCTCCGGTCGTGTGGGCCTATGGTTCGTGTGCGCCTTTACCTTTAAAGAAAAGCCCGCGAGGCTCTAGTGCTCTAGTGACGAAATTAACTTTCTTGTTTTTGGTTTGCCCAGTGGGAACAGTAGTATAATGTCTGGCTCACAAAAGCTGGCCATCAGTTAGAAAATTAGTTTAAAGCGAACTGAACCGAGACAAACTTTTGCTTTTCGGGGCAGGAGGGGGGTTATAACCGGATGTATTGTTTTGGGCTTTCAGGTAGATGGAGCATTGAATGGGTGGGGGGAGGGGGGAGGAGCTTATAATCGGAACAGGGGAGTTTACGGTACTGAAAGTATAAATCCACCACAGCCAGAGGCAGCCAACTTAATTGTTCGACCGAATCAGAAACAAACAACCTCACGTGCGTAGAATAGTGCAACAGGCTCCTTAAGTTGAAGGGTGTTTCTAAAAACTCTATAAAATATCACACGGGGAAGTTTATAAGCACGATCAATGAAGTGCAAGAAACACAGCTATTACCTTGTCATTCCTCTGTAATGCAGCCCAGTATCAACAACCAGCCTTACGGCACGCCATACCTAAGAAAACAAGTCAGTGAGGAAAAAATGCACATACTTAGCAGAAAGCATCCGATATGTCGTTCTCGAACGGCTTACCCCCTTCTTCAATTAAGAAGGTCAGTGAGAATACTGATTGCAAACTCCATACATTGCACTTGAACTGTAGACGGTGCGAATGGAAATTCGTTATGAATAAAGTTTTAAGATTTGTGCTTTACAATGTAAGCCTAAGACATATTGATAAGCAAAAGCTTATAAAGAAATATGGATTGGGACTATCTATTCTTTCACACGTCGTTAACCAAGTTCAGTGACTCTAGCCTTCTCCGACTCTTGTTTGTATCTTGGCTCGCTCTCTACGCAAAGAAGGTGTTTACTTAGAGAAAGCAGTTTTTCTTCCTGTTAGTACTGAGCATACCTGCCATTTTACCATACCATACTTCTGAAGAAGATCGTCTTTGTACAGATTAGTATCATCGGAAAGTAGCGGGTTCTCGGCATAAAGGGCCCAGCCCTCTTGGAAAGCTACATACGACGTCTCCTTGTCAAGCCACCTAGGGACGCCATCACACTTGTCACGAAAATTTTCCACCAGACCTGGTAAACAAAGAAGTCATGATATCACCCAGGGCGCTTAACAGAGACTTTAGCTCCCCAGAGGCCACGATAAGTATGTACTTGCTACCGGTCGTTTCGATAAACGTTTAATCAGTGGAGGTGTAAATAGTTTCGCGTACTTAGCTTAAAAAACGAAGAACATTTACCCCAAATGTTTTACTTGTTCACGCGCGAACTATACTTAATGTGATCGAAATTTTTGTGTGATTGCAGTGCCTCTTCATATAACTCAACTCAGTGTACTAAATGCTACTGACGAATTAACCACGTTATTATCTTATTTGTTATTTCGTTGGCTTTTTTGGCGGAAATTGTAACCGTTGTAAAGCTTAATGCTGACAAGTGAACAGTGCTGTAACTGAGAATAAGACGCTCATTAGTCACCTTGCATCTGGGTGTGGTGCCCTGGTCGCGACTCGTGCCCGATCACCGACCACTCCTGAAACTTTGGGCCATATTCCTTCAGAAAAAACGGAAGCCCGAAGTAAGTCGGGTTTGTGCAATTAGCGTTGCTTGGCGAGAAGAACATGGCACCATTTGAAGGATTGTAATGCGGCTTCATTTGAATAGGACAGTTAGCAGCAGTGGTCTTGGGACCAGTGAAGTAAAACAGCGGTTGAATCTTGGGATAGATCATACTCATGACCGTCTGTATGTACTTGCTCCAGCTTTGAATGGCGGCCCAACGACGCGGACAGTAGACTTTGGCAGAGGATGGACTCTTGCATTTCTTGTGCGCGTTCTCGTCACTCTCGTTGGCGGGAAATGGAGCTGTATTATGCCATTGGTCGGAGGAATTCAGACGAATTTTAAAAGCTCCTACCGCTTTAGCTCTCTTGTTTATGCCTGTAACGAGCTTTGCGATTTTATACACCTACCAAAAAAGGGAAAAAATTGAATAAAACGATCAGAAATCGCTTAGGTTGTGTTCACACTGTATAGGATAGATTATCACGCCGAAATCATCGTTTTTCTGTGTGAACAGAGGCCCTACCCGGTCTGGGTTTCATGCTGGCGCACAGAAAAACCCCAGCCTCGTTCCCAGTTGTCCTCGGCGATTTCGGATGTGACGTCACGGCTGACGTCACCTGTCAAGCTTGTCGGGAAAATTCGCCTAGCGCGCTCGGTTTCAAGCCTCCTCTGGTCACTCGGATAGCGCGAACAGGCCTGGGTACGAGGCTGGAAAAACCCTAGTTTGTCATTTACTTGTTTAATGCATAGCTTTTTAGGTGTTTTTACCAAGTTTAAAGTAAAAACTAAAAGCCTAACTTTGGAATTCTTTGCTAAAATGAGAATAATTTACACAACTAGCATAATTATCGGAATTCGGAAGCTGTGAATATCAAACCTACCAGAGGCATAAAGTTATCGAGCTGTGCTTTTCCCTCTTTGTATAACTCTTCAGCTGTTATATTAATGGTTGTGAAGAAGGATAAAATCTGACGGTAAGTTTCCATTCCATTTAGCCTCTTTCTAGTTCCAGGTAGAACCTTGGTTGTCCTGTTCTTTTTATCAGGAATACCATCAGTATACACGAAGTCAACGGGTAAATTAGCCAGACCACTGGCCACGTCATCAGGCAGGCAGTGACGACTATGCTCCTTTTCCAGCCATCGAATCAAGTTCAGTAAAGGCTTTCCCAAGCCTTTTACCAAAGCTTGCTTTATGGATTTTGTTACATTCTGGCCTCCATGTTCTTTCTGCCAGCGCTTATTCACTCCTCGTTCAAGCCTTGCTAGGTATTGTGGTTGTAAATAAAGTTTAGTGTACCACTCCTCCAGAACACTCTCGGGGGTATCTCCATGGGCAACTTTTGGGTACTTTTCCTTAAAAGCGTCCAGGCCTGCTTTACAGTCAATAGATGAACGAACCATACCAGCTTGGACACCAAGGGCAATGTTATCTCTGAGGGGAAAAAAACAAACAAATTTTACACCTGTTATCCATAACAAAAGCTTAACAGTCAAATAACAAACTCAAAAAAACATGAAACAAAGAGAGATGTTGAATTTTAAGCTCGGCAAATATATCTCATTGAATGATCACATCTTTTAAAATTTACCATCCTTCTCTTTTTCATATAATACGCTCTCGACATTGCTGATCCTAAAAAATGGGGAAAATAGGTTCGAGCTAAAGGGAGGGAATCGCATCCAAATTCGAACAGAGAAAGTAAAATTCTATGGCCTTGCCACTCCCGGGTGCCACTCCCGTTTTCAAGTAACCCTAAAATTTGGTTATTTCACGACGTAGTTATGCAGGGACGATAAAGAAATTAACAAAAAAGCGTGGTACAAGTGCAATGTTGTTGTTTCGCTTCCTAAACCTATTGCGTTCTGGGCGTTCCTGTTGCCGTCGTAGTTTCGTAAGATCCCTAAAGACATCCTTAGGCCTGACAAAATCTGCTTTTGGGCTTTTATCATATTGTAATTCTGATGTTTGGTGTATGATAAGGTCATAGGTCAAAAAACCTTATTGTAGCAAGAAAAAAACTGAGCAGGAAGATGTTGTGAACCATCTGAAAGGCGACAAACCTGTATCGTTCTATAGTTTCCTTGTGTTTCATGATTTTGTCAATCACGTGCTGCACATCCGAGTAAGTGTGCGGCTTCACGTGCCACGCGAATGCATTAATGCCATAAGCCATGTAACATATTGGTTGCCAGCAGAAGTAGTTTGGTCCCATCAACCAGTCACCAGCGTAATAGTTGACGTCATAAGGCCAGCCAAATACGTGCTGCAGAAAGTGCTTTGCCTGTTGGAATGAAGGGTAAAACCAAAGCATAAAGCTCTGAGAGGAATAGATAACAAAAGAGGCAGTCTCCATGACTCCATCAGCATTAAAAGAGGGTGTCAAGAGTCTGTGCTATTAAAACTTTGATAGTGACTTGTTTATTCAAATCATCCTCCGCTTTTTTTTTCATGTCACGAAGATATTGTGGTTGTAGGTCAAGTTTGAGCTGAAGCAATTTCTTAGTGTCTTTACCCGTACACAAATGCTCCTGTAAATTTTTGAAGATGATATTAAAAAAAAGCACTTTATTTGAGTGTCAAGGTATTTAACACGAAAGCACTAATTGGGGACACTATTTTTACGTCTCTTCTTACTGGAGAAGGGACCGCCATTTTACGTGGTCATCCGAGCCACGCGAAGGTCTGGCAGCTTGCAGTACAAAGGTAGTACCTTCTTTTTTCAGTTATTTTAAGACCCTGAGTATTGGTCCGGCCCCGGGAATAAAACCCGCTATCTCCCGCTCTGCAGTTACACGCTCTACCGACTGAGCTAACACTGCCGCGGTTAATTTATAACAAATTTCACCAGGGAGCACTAACCAAAATATTTTCTTTGGGTGATTTTTGTAGGCATAGCATTAAAACTCGAAAACGTTAGCCCATTCTTTTCAAGTTTCAATCTATGTCCATCTTTTCCATCCGTTGCAACTGACGACAGGAAACAGTTTCAATACCTAACTATAGTCGTAAATAAGAAAAGTATACCATTATTCCCTTAGAATTCAATTGATTCGAGCAAAGTCTTAGCTTTTTAAAAAGACAGCAAATTATAGCGTGGCTTAGCCCCTTTAAGTCTCCAATACGGCAGAGAATCTTCGATCTGTGGTGTTGTTTCTATAGAAAACAATTTGCAGTCTTCGTTCCAACATCAACAGTTGGTGTGCCATTGATAAGCGACATACTTGCTAATAAATACAGATAACTTCTAATATGCTATCATAAGTGAAATCCCCCGGGTTTATCTTATCCTCACAGCNACGACGACGGAGACGGCAACGAGAACTTCAAAAAGTAGGTCAAAAAAGCAATATGTTTATTAAGCAAAGCAACAACTTTGCCCTTGCATCAAGCATTTCTTTGTCGTCACTGCACGACTACGACATGAGAATACCTAATTTCACGTTTTATAGAGGATGTAAACAATCGACGACGAATTTTTCTTTTTCTTTCTTAACTTGAGTGCGGTCCCCGAGAAATCAACTCTAGGAAAAATCGCCTACATCTGACAAGGCCTTTATTAAGCGAGCGTCCACTGGGATTAGATTACTATCCTCGTTACCCTTATGCCACACACGTCACGAGCGGGCGGGGACATACAAAAGGCCCGCGTGATTTTTTTTTATTTAGCATCACTACAACTCTTCCGTTCTCTCAACCCTTCATCAACCTCTTATTTCCGAAACGGATCATTCTTGCATGTGGGAAATCCGACCCCCCCTAAGCTCGTTAGATCTTCCATTAGAGATATTGTAATTGTAGCCTTAAGCTGTGCAAACAAAGAAGAGACGAACACGCAAACTTATAACCAGCTTGTTGCCACATACTCTATTCCTGTCAGTTGTCCGCGAATACAGCGCGTTTTCGTGCTAGTCTTTTCTGCTTGGGTTTGAACGTCGATTTGTTTATATAAGTAGCTCACTGTCGGGGAGCCCCGGTCACAGATGCCCAGGGTTTTGGGTTTAAGGGTATACATATTTTTTCTTTTAACTTGGGTATAAGGTATCTTACAGCTCTGAGTTTGGATATACGATCAACTTACAATAGACTGGCCCGCAAAACAGCAATTGCTAATCTAGGCGGCCCAATTAAAAGACAAATAAAATGAGAGGAAAAGAAGGAAAATAAAATATTCTTTAATTTCTTATACGTCAAAAACATCATGGGAATTTGGGGTATATTGGCTGATCCCTTTCGGATATTAGTACTAGAATTCCAAATTTTAAACTTAAAACAGTAAACTGATCCCTACGACAGGAAAAGTGAAGGAAAAAAAAACAAAAAAAGAGAACAAAAATAAAGTGGTCACCACTTTATTTTTGGTTCTTTCTTTATTTTTTCTATCACTTTTCCTACCGTAAGGATCAGTTTACTGTTTTAAGTTTAAAATTTGGTACTCAAGATTTTACCCTCACTGGTTTGTCGTTGTGGTTTTGCTTTCACAGGGTTTCTGGTACTAGAATTCCCCCAGGCTAATCCAAAGGGAAGAAACGGGGGGTGGCGGGCTGAGAGGCTTTAGCACCCCCACTTTTTTTCCGAACAAATGAAGACTTTGCTCCCGGCCTTATAGAAAAATAGACAGCAGAGCTTACTCAGCCTCCCTTTGGAAAACTGTTCTGCGGTCTCTGAAACGATATCCTCCAAACTCCGTTGAAGGGACAGTACATTATCAAGAGAGAAAATGTATGGGGGATTCGATCTCTTAGTACCTGCGAATAAAGCCGTTTGCTCCTCGCCGCAAAGGACGATTCACCTGGCGAAACGTCCCTGGCGGCGAGGAGCTAGGAAAAACGGCTGTATTCGCAGGCTAATCTGTTAGCCCATTCTCTCTTGACATTATTTATGGCTAAGGGGAAGAAGGGACAGTGTTTAGAAGGGGGTGGGGGTAAAGTTTTTAAAAACTCGTGTCCCCCCCCCCCCTAAGCAATAAATAACGTAGAGTCCGTAAGCAGCCGCCCTGAAGTCCTTAAAAAGTTCTTCTCGCTATCACGATCTCCAAAAGCTGTTAACAATACAGTGGAACCTTCACCAACGCCACTTTTGTTGGCGGACAGTCCATACATTGGCTCTTGTTTAAACCTCTCTACAATGGCCACTTTCTTCTGCCCCCAAGGTGGCCATTGTGGATAGGTTAAACTGTAATGTTTTCGTCGCAAGGGTTCAATTGCAGTCAGCCGGGAGTGACGAAAAGCTCTACAAGGTGAATGAAAAAAGGGTGGGTCAAAAAAAAAAACTGCGACCCGTTTCTCATCGCTTGCGTTTCAATCTTTTCATCTGTTGCAACAGAATTTTTTCCTACAAACCGCATCACTTTTCTTGATGCTAATACGATAGTGAAATCCGATTTTCCGTATCACTTTGATCTGCCTTCTTTCTCTTCACAAGGAAACGGCTTTGACATCGATCACTTAAGCTGCCAACAGCGCGCTCAACATGTCTCACCTTTCGTCCGCAAGAAAATAATTCTTTGTCTTGGCAATAAGATATTAAAGTCACAGTTTTTATCTTCAAAGCCATTAATATGAAATATTGTAAAACCATCTTTGTGAAAGATAAAGTTTTGCATTTATACACAGTGTAGGGTTTACTCGTTATAAACTCGGCAAAATGTCAAATTATAATTGGATGTGGAGAGCCTAAAGACGCAAGTCAATGAGCTGTC